CCGGCAATAAAATATTTTCTGCTGATAATTCGCCGTTTTATTTGAATGATAAAAATATTTTCTCTTTTTACGAATTAAGGGCGAACAATTGCACACACTATTTATATTTCTACGAGTAATTTTTAAGACCAGATTTAATTAAGAAATAAATTTATATTTAAACATGTAGTTTCTGGAGATAGTTCAAAAAAGTTCAGACTTTTCCAATTTTAGAAATTTCAGATTTCAGTGATATTCGAACCATATTTTATTATCGTACATCGATATAATCATGCAAATAATAAAAAAAATTGAAGATAATATTCAGTATATTCGGGAAGTATTATAGTAAAATACCTTCCTCCATTTAAAACATCGCTTTGGAATCCAATGAAGCTCAAAATCAGCCAGATTTATCTGAAAATATCAATTTTGGTGAACATACTGAAAATATTTTAGGTACTTCACAGATGAAGTGACTGGCAGAAAGACAGATTGCTGAAAATTACATTTTCGCTATCAAGAACCTTCAAAATGTGGATTTTGGCTACACCTATATTAAAGAAAATCATCACCCTCCTGCAGAAGCACGAAAAAATCAACTCTTTCTGTTTCAGGAACCCACAGTTTTTACTGTCGAATAAATGACACTTTTCATACAGCATTAAAATATTTTCTGTATATGTACTACGTAAGTACTGTAAGAAAAGGCAATATCATTTGGACGATAATGGTTAATTACACCCAAGTATTGAAATTTTGACAATCACTGTCTTCAGTATTTGAAAAGCATGTAGTACTCACTTAAATCGAATTTTCGATGCGTTATTTTCGTTTTTATTTAAAGACTTCCTTGAAATTTTTGTTGAGGAAACCTCACATGATTTCCTCCCCTGGACTCACAAACGAGTGTACGAATTTGAAGTCGACTTATTCATTCAGAGACTTGTCAACTGCTCAAAATTGGTTCTCTCTTTTAGTGTGACGTTCTCCGATTCATACCGAAAGGAATTTTCTTCAAATGGCCAGAGCAGCATTTTACTTACTGTACTTTCACACGCGTAGTGAAACGTTTTCTTTTCTGATTAACTCTTGGAATTTTCCTTTTGTCCTAGAGTAGAGCGAGCCTTTGAACGGACCTGATGGTGAAATGACAACCGAAGGACCGGCCCTGCGCGTCACTCTGCAGCGAGGGAGATCGTAGAGGTCGAATCCCGCAGATACCTGGAGGGAGAAAACCCTGCAATCCGACATGTAGGCCGCCGCTGAATCTCACCATCAAGCGCAACAGGAACACCGCCACGTTCCGAAAAGAACATGTACTACACTAACAGGACTAACGACTAAAACAGTGGACGTGTTAACATCAATCAATGAGTGAAGGACAAAGCGTTGATGGAGGATGTATGGAGAGCCGCTTTGACAGAAGCCGGGAAACTGAGGGTGCGGTCGCGGCCGGGGCTGGAGCTGGAGCTGCGCGACCTCCGGCGCGTGGGCGGGTGAGGGCGGCGCGTGGGCGCGGACCCAGACATCGACTCGGGCGCGGGCGCGGGCGCGACGACCATGCGCTTGAAATAACCTGTCGCCCTCTTCCCCGCTCCCTCCCCGCCCCGCTCCGCCGGCGGCCCTTCTCAAAGGCGAGTTGCATCACCAGCGCCGGTCGGCCGTTGCCCCGCTGCCGACCCCTCGCTCCGGACGCGTTGATTTGGCCGCTTGCATTTGGTTATCGGCTTTTGCACTGTCTTTTTGACGTTTTTATTTCTCATCCAACAACGTGCGAAGTGAAGAGATAGTATTGTAATACCCGGGCAAAAAATGGCGATTTTTTCACAGAAAACGCGTATTGCGGCGCTCTGCTAACGAAGACGTTGTGTAGTCATTATTGATGCTCTGTGGATCTTCATACCGAAACATTGGTTGACGACAAATACCTCTGTCCGTCTGTCTGTGGTCAACGCTAGCGTCTAAACCGTTCGAACAATTTTCTTTCAAACTTATATTCCCCAATAGATTTCAAAAATCCCAAATCTCAGTGAGTTTGAAAGAAATAATTTGGTTTTGTGGGTACTTTACTTGAAGCTTCAATAACAAACATTTTTTCTTGACACCTAATTATTTCATGAAACTTTTTCTTAAGAGAACGTATTAAAAAAATGCAAAAAAAAATTCATCCAGATATTTAAATTTTCGAAAATTGCGAAACTTCAAAACTTTTTGGGATTATACTTAAAATTACAAAAAGAGAGAGATTTTTTTGTTCAAAAAATCTTCTAATAAGGTCATGTGTATTTCACCCCCTTAAATTTGAGTAGTTGTCTCATAATTTTGGGGGAAATATAGGTAATTTTTTAAAGAATTATCTTCTAAATAGCGTTCAATTTTTTCTGTCGAAAAATCGATAATTTCCAGCCCATGTTTACTATACTTTTCCTTCTTACGAAGTAAGGCCAGAAATAAAAAAAATCACTTTCTTCAATATTGTAGTTCTCACATTTGAATATTCAAAATTCTAGATATTTCATGCAAAATGAGATTAATTATTACTTTCCCTCTTTTGTAATAAGAATAAATATTGTAATCATACGCCGCGAAACAGTGATCTTTCGACAGAAAATTTCTGGGAAACTGATGAGGGAAATGGGACATTGTTTCTACATATAGTAAATTACTTCCTCAAACACATTATGTGTACATTTTTGTGGGTTCTCGATGACAAATTATGAATTGATGGCAGAACGCAGAACGTTTGTGTTTGTCTATCCGTACATGTCTGTGGTCAACATCTACAATGCACTAGCATCTACAATGTTGGATGATTTACACCAAAATTGATATTCATCATTCGCTTGTAACGAACCGGAGGCCCTCTAATTTTGTATAAACATATTTTAATTTTGGGGGTCGTTATATGAAGACAATAATATTCTCCAACTTTTCTCAAAACTGGCTCCACATTTGGCTACAGGATATACTTTCTTGCGTGTTATCGAAAATTGTGAGAGAACGAACACGAGACCTGCGCTACTATTTTAAGGGTTTCTTGTTTTCTCGGTCAATAAAATTGGAAGAAAAAATAGGTGTGGTTCTTGAGAAAATACTTTTTTATGTTGCAATAATTTCAAGTACAAATTACGCGAAAACTACTGATGTCTTCTAGAAATTGACTTTAAAGAACAGATTTCATTAAGGAAAATTGGTGGTGCTACAACAGTATACAGTTTCTTCCACTATTTGTTATTGCTCCGGTATACTACACTATTACATATACCCTCAAAACTGTTTTCAACCAGCAACTTTTTTCCACACCGACACTCGGACATTCGAGGAAAAAATATAATGTAAAACTTTGAAACGGTTGTTGATTTTTTAAAATGCATTTTTCAGGCACATATTACGTGAAATCTAACCGCTTTTTTCTTAAAAAATTGTACATGACTTTTTTCAATGAGCTGACTTTTCAACAACAAACTTTGTCTAAGATAAAAATCTCTTTCTTCAATTCTTTAGTTTTGAAGTATACTTTTTGCAATTTTCGACATTAAGGAGTTTGTCGAAATGAGACTAGCCCCATATTTTTACCGTCCCTTGATACATAGGAGAAACATTAAACAAAAAATATGGAGCGGATATTTAGAAAAATTAAAAGATTTAAAAATTACTCATAATTCGTACAAAATTACACGAACACTATTCTTATTTTTGAAAATATGGGTAGTTTTCTCTGGTTTCTCCGATCGCCACCTGGCTAATATCGGAGCAGGACCCTGAAAATCGGGGCGCGGACCGCGCGCAATCTTTCCTTTTTTTCCTTGTCCTATCCCTTTGATTGCACATACACTTGCACTAACAATCACATGCATCCTTTCATTCAACAAATATTACTATAAAAACCTAATCGTATTTTCAGTAGAAATGAAATTAAAAGTGCATTTAAATTAAATTCTGCTGCTATAAAATCTATTGGATCGTTATTAGGTTTTCAAAATAAAATTGTTAAAAAATAACTTAGTATTGGTAATAATATTCCTAAATTCATTCCATTCGATACAATTCATGTACACTTCAATTGTGATGATGGGATGATTTTAAAAGAAAATTAATACACTTTTACTCGGACAAAAATATTTTTATGCCGTAGGACACACAATCTGACCATAAAATTGTACTCGTAAAAGCTCGGAAAGACAATTCGTTTAACAAGTAATATCACAAAATTCTAGTAAAATATCGATAAAAATATCGACTTGTTTTTGTATCTGTAAGTAGTTAAAATTCGTTTTGATATCTCCTGTTTGCCTTGATATAACTTTTATCTCTTCTATACTACAATACAGAAATAAATAAAATTGTAATTGAATGCATAGATTCTCGTATGATATTGATATACATAATGTGAATAAAGATTATGGAACTGTTGATTAGAATATTTCGAGCAATGAAAGTGGGTCAAGTCACTAAATTATGATCTATAAAATTAAGTTCGTGTTCATTGTATAACTAATCTATGTATTTTTGATCTAGAAAATGAAGTTTAGATGCAATGTATCGTGAATCTATATAATTATATTATTATTATTATTATTATTATTATTATTATTATTATTATTATTATTATTATTATTATTAAAACAGGTATCTTAAAAGACCTCAACACCTCAAAACACGTAAAATTATTATTTGGAGAATCTGTAACTAAAATTAGAATTTTATTACAAAAATGGGAAAATTTCAAACCAGGTCTTTCGTTGAGAATGTTGACTTTTATAGAATGGTTGAAATATTAAAAAATATATTCGAAATGTTAAAAATAATTTATTTCGAAATAAGGGGTGTAGGGTTTTAAAATAGACCTGAACGCATAAAATTGCAAAAATGAGATTATTTTGGGATAAAAGAATGAAAATATTATAAATTTATAATAAACATAAGCATTTTAACTCGATTTTAATGATGGAAATAAAAAATATCTAAAAATTATGGGTCCAAAAAATCTGGTGCAGGAGCCTTGGTTTATATACTACTCACATTTGCGGTGAAAATGTTTCTTTCTTGCCTTTTGTCGGGCTGAGAGCAGGCGGCGTGTGTGAGCACTCACCGATGGTGGTGAGCACGGTGGTGGCGAAGAAGACGGCCTGCGTGAGGTTCCAGCGCGTGGGCGGGCGCTGGCCGCTCACGACGAAGGGCAGCGCCACGCCGCCGCCGACGGCGCTCTGCAGCTCGTCCTCGTACGCCGCCAGGGCGCGCTCCACGCGGGCCGCCGCGGGCGGGTCGCTGGCCGACAGGTTGGCCAGCGCGCCCAGCAGCTCGCGTCGCCGCGCCACCGCCGCGTCGTGCAGCGGCCCCAGCCGCGCCGCCTCGTCGGGCCCCTCCAGCTTGGAGAACACCTGCGCTCACGCACGGCCGCGGGCCAACACATGACGCCTTCGCCTTCGCGTTCACAATCAGATTCAAGAGCAAAATATACATGGCCAGAAAACCATCCAAGGTTTTAAACTTGGAGAGCACCTTCGCGGGACACACGTCCAGCTTCCAACACATGACGATTTCACATTCAAAATTACACACACTCTCACAAACACATTCAAAATTAAAATATCCATGTCTACAATACATTAATCGATCTAATAGCAATGGTTGAATATCTTGATGTTTCTTTAATTGTACAATTTATTTTTGAATCCTTTAATATTTCATATTTTTGCGGAAAATTCCTTACATTTTGTTATCTGTATAAATACCCCTGTTTTTTGTCTTGTAAAATATTTCTTTTTTCCACTAGTTTGTTACATTTCAAAACAACGTTCTCTTAACCGTTTACTGGCGTCGAACGTCAGCTTGGTCCTTCATCGTCATTGTCTTTTATCCCTTCGGCCAGGGGCTCGGCGCCGTGGTTCCCAGACCCCCACCCAGGAACATGCGGTGTCTCGAGTTGCTAACGTCCATGACTTCACGCAGCGTACTTAAGCAATTCGCCCACTGACGCCATACGTTAGTTTTACACGTATTTCAAAAGAAGTGTGTCTGAAATTTATATTTTCTTCGATAATCATTTGAATGTTCTTAAGTCATCCTTTTCACATTAAATGAATTGAAATTGGTAGCAGATACTTAAGTCGAAGTTCATACGTCTGCATTACGGTAATAATTATGGACTAAATACCATAAGAGTTCCGTAGTTGTGTTAAAATGCAATTCCCACGCGAGTAAATACAGGCAGTCACTGAAACAATTGTGTCTCCGCCACTCGGTGAGATGTGGCCAGGGCGGGTCAGGACAAGGGGTGGAAGTACACTATGCACAGAATTCCTGTCTAACAGATGATTGTGTTTCATAAATATCTAGTCATAGAGTAGTAGTTAATAAAAAGTATAATTCGTAACGGCCTTGGCAATGGCACAATGCCACGATTATGTAAATGCTTCCTTACATGGCTCCGTGCTGACAGCTGCAGGCTTGTTGCTTGTTTACAGGTGGAACAGTACCGTTTGTAACACGGAGGAGCCAGCGTAATCTCCGGTAACCACTTTAGCCCCAACCACCTCTACACTGCGAAATTTACATTTTTCATTTAATTCCAGCGCCTGAGGGTAGGCAATTACAAATACACTGATGTATTGCGGCACACAGAAGATCTTAACACTTCGAGTTACAGCATCAGCATTATTGAATGCAATTGTCATGTTACTGTTGGTTTATTAAGCTTTAGTCATTAAATAAGTCTAAACATTTTAAACACAAAAGCATTTTCGTCGGTTGAATCACTTTCCTCTACAGAATATTCTGAGGAAAGTCAATTTCACTTTCTATACATTCACCATCTGAAACATTCTTCCTCACTGCTACGCGAAAAAAGGGTAAATTTTCAACATAAAATTCTTATTAAAGGGTCCTGGCAACCAAAAAGTGTATAAATTTAGTTGCTAAATTTAAAAAAAGAAAGTCTATCTCGTGGTTTAGCCAGAATCCATGTTTTGTGGATCTTTCATTCCGAAAAATCCAATGACGGCCAAACGTCTGCTCATCTGTCTGTCCGTCTGTCTGAAAAATGCTAGCCGCTAAACCGTTCAGCCAATTTTCTCCAAAATTGATAATCCCAATCGATGTTGCAGACGTGGCGGACCCATGAATTTTAAACTGATATTATAATTTTGGAGGGAACTTAACCTGAAGCCCTTGGAACTTTTGTTAGATAGTGTGGAGGACGTTTAAGAGAATGGTGCATGTCTCATGCTCGTTAAAACTCCTGATTTTTTCGAAAATTGGAAAAGTTCAATTTTTTCTGAGTCTTTCTACAACTAAAATATTAAAGATATTTTCCCTTAATGAAATCTGTTTCTCAATGGTAGATTTTAAAATAAGGTCACGTATAATTTTTAGAAAATTTGAATATTTTTCGCGTAATTTTGCATGAAAGTACGTGCTGCTGTAGCACCACTAGTTTCTTTATGAAATGCTTGTGTTGACAACAGTATCATCATACACGTTTACTAAAATCAGGGAATTTCGACTTCACCTAGTCGAGGGGAGGGGCGGTAAACGTCCTGACGTGGTATGCAGGTCGGGGTCTCGTGTATACTTTTCCTTCAACGGAGATCTTTCTCATCTCCCATCACTCATCGTGTTTTTTCTCTTCCTCTTCCTCTTCCTCTTCCTCTTCCTCTTCCTCTTCCTCTTCCTCTTCCTCTTCCTCTTCCTCTTCTCTTTTTTCTTTTCTTTTCTTTTTTCGCATACATGTTATTGAGATCCACATATATTCTCCTGCTCCTCCTGCCCGCTGACCGCACACCTATGTGTTTGAAATGCTTAGCGACCCGTGTCGGACGGAAAGGGGGCCTTATAGTTGAGGGGCCTCTTTGCCATTTGCTCTCCTGAAGCAACACTATCTATAGCTCTTACGAGTACGATTTTATGGGTAATATTCGCCATGTACCAAAACACTTTGGCCTCGGCCTCTTCCAGACGGGCAGGCGGGAGATAAATCATTCCCCATCAACCGACTCTGTCTAGGCCCTAGACCAGGGGTCGACAGCATTGGAGCCCCGAGTAAAACTTCATTAACAATGCAAACTTAAATGTAAGGTATTGCTGTAAACTTAGACGTTTACATGTACAAAGACGTAATCTTGAACGTAATTTTCGCCTACACCCATCAGATTTCAACGTATTGAAGCTTAATAGATTCGTTTCTAGGATGGTGGAAAGATCTTTTCATTATTGTCTCTACCTTTTTCTTCCATGTTCTTATCAATTTGTCTATATGTATATGTGATTAGCTGTTGTATTAGTGCTTGCATTTCCTTTATTTTATAAACAAGGATTCTCTTGCTACTAATTGTCAATTGCACGATTAATTCGACGAACATAATTAATTTATGCGCCATGTCAAATTAGAGTCACAAGAATAATTGCCCAAATTCTTACATTAAATTAAATACATGTATCAAAACCGTTCGCAAATTCAATTCTTTACATTACCAAAATGAAATGATAACCACAAACTACCTGAACCTAATCTGAAATCGACCCTTATTTTTTGAGAGCGTAGGCTTCCGCGGCAGGAGTCAGTATTTAATAGGCTCTCCGGGTGACATTACACGGGACGGGTGACTGCGCATTACGCCCTGAGGAAGGTCGCAGAATGGCGACCGAAACGTCGGCACCTTTGCGATGGACGTCACCCGGGCAGCCAATTAAATTCTTTCATTTTCTTCTCGCGGTGCATATTGTGTTCATTTGTTGTTGTTTTTTGTTTTTTGTTTTTCAAACTGCTCTGCTGATTGCTCATTGGCCTTCGGTAGAATTCCTTAGACGTAGACTTAACTTGGTGGTTTACGGATTTTCGTCTACGATTTCGTGAAGGCATTGAGAACGGTGCCGCCTCTTAGCTCATTTGTAGGTTTTGCGGCTGCGTTGCGTTGGGGTTCGCATCGCGAAGGAGGCCGGCGCCACTGCTTCCGAGCAGCGCGGCGGGAAGTCAACTCCAGCTGAACGTGTGCACACATTTCGCACTTTGAACACGACTGCGCACGATTGTGGCCAGCAACTTCCTTCACTCAGGAATCACCTCAATGTTTCAACTCGTGCCTCTGTGAGTGTTCTCAAGCAAAGCAAAAATTTGTTTGTCCATACTGGGAAAACTGATTTCGGAAATTTGGTTTCTGAAGTCAACACGCTATCATTAAGATGCAGGTCTTTTATCGCACAGAACACCCACACAAATCCATAAGAAATACACTTATTAAATTTTAACAATTCAAAAGTTTGAATGAAAATTATTCGTGTGCTAAATCATTTAGTATTTTATGGTTCATCCTTACAAACAAAATTAAGAAAACTGTGGTGGTGAAAGTGCATATATTTTCTCGCAATATGATCATGTTTTATAATGTCACAATTTCTGTCTTTCTTACACCTAAAATATCATTTGATCTCGTAAATAAACGAAGCATGAACAATATAGTTTTTAATCCAAACGTTTAAATCAAAATATATTGAATTGAGTCTATTCAAGCATTCAGTGTATTCACGAACATACACTATGCGTATTTCAGCTTTAAAAAATAGAAGTTATAATTTCTTTATACGAATCAGGGGCGGCGGTGGCGATGGAGGCTGGCGCTACTGTTCGTTGTTGCCAGCGCGACGTTGTTAAAACAACAATGGACGTTTCGTTTGGCATACACATTTCACAACCCAGTAGCGTTGGCAATTGCAAATGGTTCGAAAAGTATGTAACAGTAATCATTAAATTCTCGAATAATATTCTTCAAATCTGTTCATTTTAACACGAATTACACACTACACGTCTTATCATGTAACGCTAAATGATTAATATGTTTTTCCACCTTAAAAAATACCAAAAATCGCGAGAACTACTCACACTTCAAACGGTTAAGTTATATTGTAATGCCCCAATTTACGTGCAACCTAACACATCTGAATCATCACTTGTAAAATTCAATTCAAATCGTAGAATATTAAGTGCAAAAACTAATTCTTTGATACATAATATATCAACACAAATTCGACTTAAAAATGCGTTTCATATAACTAACGTCTGCCAACAACGAGAAGTAATTCTTATAATTTTATGCCGTGTCGCGACGCTGTCTATCCCAATTTGCTATCTTCTGAAAGACTAGCTTAGCAAACAGAGAGCGGGAAATTCGAATTTGTAATTTCGAAAATGCCAAATTTATGTCAAACTACTTTTTTTAATATTCATAACCTGTTTTAAAGAACTGATTTTTAGAAAATATTTCAGTTAACAAAAAAATCTGTAATCTTGTACATTACCATGATAATTGTGTGTTGTTATTTGCAGTTTTCGAAAATACAGAGAGTTCACCGAAAATTGGACCAGAACCACTTTCTTTGGCGTTCT